TGCATATTATTCATTCATTCCTTCTTTTTTTTTTTTATTTTATTTATTTATTTTTATATGTTCCAAACCCACCCTATCTAATAATATTATGTGTCTCCACAACACAAATACTAAAGTTCAGAGATTGTTCCTTCATTCTTAATTATTCTTTTAATTTGATTTTTTCTTAGTTTAATCAAAACTTTGATCGAAGCTTTTGCTATTTGTTAAAGAACACCATGTCTTAATCGTGTTATGTACAAGTTGACATGTTTAAAAGCAAATCTAATTAGTGTCATAATACACCAAATGATTAGTAGAAGACAAATTAGAAGGTGAATTTTCTTCTTCTTTTTTAAATGTTTTATTCACAAATTAGTTCCAAATTTAAAAAGTCATAGAAACAGTAATGGTAGGGGCTAAAATAGACAATAGAGTTGTATTTGTTTATACTATTTTAATTTATTTCTTGGAATAAGTTTGTTCCTAGTCTACTTTGTGGATTTGATCGTACTGTTTGGGACTGTTGAGTTCATCATGAGTTTCATCTCGATAATTTGAATCATTAATTTTTTAGACAATAATCATGTTTATTATCTGTCTCTAAAAAAATGAATGATCCAATTTTCAAATAATATTTGTCGTTCAAGTTTTTTTTTTTTACAAATAAATTTCATAAAATAACATAGCTATGATTATTAGACTGACCTGATTTTTTTCTTCAATCATCTACATCTAAAATAATATTTTCAAATATGTGTTGGCATTCCAAATTTCACATCAGAAATAGTTGAAAAAAAAAAGCACTCTGTTTGGTTTCGATTTCCAAAATTCACTTTCTAGAAAATTTTACTTTTTTGTTTTTCGTATTTTTTTCATCATTACTGAATGTTTTGAATATTTTAAGTATTTTTTTTTAAATTTTTTAGACACACCTAACATAAATATATTTAAAAAGTATAATATTTGTGAAAAAATCTTTAAAAAATTCACGAAATACCAAAAATACAAAAAAAAAAGAACATTCAGTACATTTTTTAAAATATTTTTGTGTATTTATTAATTTTTTAATTTTTTTTTTCAAATATTTTAATTTTTAGATACGTCTAAATAAGTTGCATCTAAAAAAGTAAAAACAATTGCTTAAAATTTTTAAAATATTCACTAAAAAAAAAAAAAAAAACTTAATGTCTAAAAAAATTGAATTAAAAAAAAAATTGAATTCAAATACATTGATTCTTCATTTTTTTAAATTTTTTTTTGGGGTGACAATTTCTTTGCACCCCATTACTTTGGACCTATGCACAATTGCATCCTTAACCTTTATTTATTTTTATTTATTTATTTATTTATTTTTTGAGTATATACCATAATCCCAACATTACCCTGTATTTCCTTGGAAACCCCATCCTTACAACCTTCTTTCTCTAGCAGCCCACTACTTCAACCCATCTTTTCCGGGTCATCTACCGATGCCTTTCTCCATTGCAACCCTTCTTAGGTTGCCCTCACCTATAGGTGACACATTGTCTTAATCCCCTTATCCAGTATTGATTCCCCTACTTAGCCTCTCCCTCTCTTATGTCATCTACACGCACCTCAATCATTTCCAATGTCACTCTTAACCCCTCATTTGCTAATGTGCGATACCTTCCCACACCTTTTTTTCTTCTATAATGCTACTTTACGAAACTCTAGCCGTCACCAACGCGCACGCGAGAGAGAGAGAGAAGAGAAAAAAATAATGAGAAATCGCACAAAGTCGTAAAGGGACCGAAAGGTTAGGATTGCGGGGGTCTTGAAGGTGAGGTGGTTGCGAGAAAAGGCTAATGCTGTGTTTGGTTGGAGGATTTGAGAAGAGATTTGGAAAAAAAAACAAAAAATATGTGTGAAACTATGTGAAATATAAGTATATTTTATTTACATTTTACCTATATTTTTCCTTTCTCTTTCCAAAATCCTTTCCAAATCCCCTAACCAAACACAACGTAAAGGAAAAAGAATTGGGGTTGTGGAACTGGAGAGGGGTGAGGTAGTTGGGAAGAGGTTGGGTGTTGGTAGCAGAGTTGGGAATAGAAGGGAGAAGACAACTAAGTGTGCGTTTGTTTGGACGAACTGGATAGGGGGAGATTTTAATTCATCGGACTGTTAATCCTGTGATACATTGTTCCCGGACTATTTGATTGGATTAGATTTGTATCCTATGTTTGTTTAGTCATAAGATTTGATGTCTGAATTGAACTATTCTGTTGAATCCTATGTTTGTTTAGTCATAGAATTAGATGAATTGGGTTATTCTATTGAATCCTATGTTTGTTTAGTAATGAAATTTGATGTTTGGATTTGATTATTCTATTAAATCCGATATGTATCCTATTTCATTTAATTTTTTTACTAAAACTTTTAAAAAATTAAATAAATAGAATATCAATAAAAATTATATAAATTTTAGTTGAGATTTTTTAATTTTATTTTAATCTGAACTTTTAATAAATTGAACTTTTAAAGAGATATTATAATCCATTAGACTATTAATTTAATTTAATTTTTAGTTGAGATTTTTAAATTTTATTTTACTTTACTAAGTATAATTAAAAATAATATAAATAAAAAATTGAGAGCAAAAGATGATGGCCAAAAATGTCATTTTAACCTTCCAACTTGGAGGAGGAGTTATCCCACCCTTTTTATCTCACATCCTTCCATGAGACACAATAATCCCACAAATAAGGGATTGATAGTCCGGTCGAACTATTAGTCCAGCTTATATTTTTTAAATCAAACATTGGACTATCACATGCATTGGACATGAAATTTTATTCCACACTCTAATTCCCCCAAACAAACACCCTGTAAAGCTACTAGTTGTGGCCGGAGTTGGCAGTGGGATAAGGTTAAGATTAGATTTGGGAGGTTAGGAATAAAGGCCAAAATGAAATCCTTTTATAGGATAAAATTAATATACATTTTTTGGATGGAGGGGATCCAAAGTAATTGTGTGGACAAATTAGTATTTCTTTTTTGTTTTGTTTTTTTTTTTTTTTCTTTTTTCTTTTACAGTGCTTGAACCATAATAATAGTAAATTTCTCAAATAATAACACTAATTCAAAACAATTATGACTTATTGGACCACTTGCAGATGATAAGATGGTCATCTCTTAACTCTAGATACGTGGTACAAACACTGCAAGCCCCAACCATGTAATTTGACAGAAGGATTGTTATATATTCTCCGATGAATTTTATCATTTTATTTTTTTAACATAAATTTGCACAATATATGTTTAAATATAGAATTTATCATATTTTAAAAAGTATTTATATATAAAACGTATGAAAATTCACATGACATAGCCCAATGTTGTCTCACCAGAAGTATGTTGTGTGGTGTGTTGATACACGCAACTCATACATATAACCACAGGGTGAACTTAGGGTTTGCTATTTGCTCCTTTTTTCTTTTCTTTTTTTTTGTAGTAATTTTTTTAAAAAATTATTTATACTTTTGGAAAGTTGATTTTTTTTTTTAATTTTAAAGAAAGTTCATAAAAGTAAAAAAAAAAAAGTAAATTTTTTTTTAAAGTTTATTTTGGCTTTTCAATTTTTTTTTTTAGAAAAACTTTTCAATTTTCTTTTACTTTTTAGTTGTCTGTTTACGCAAGACGAATTGGATAAGAATTTTTTTTAACATAAGTATAAAAATTAAATACAAAAATATTTAAAAAAAATAATTTATTTGAAAATTTCCAAACAGTGTTTTAGTGACCAAGCCTATCTAAAATATGCTAAACTTAATTAGTGATTTTTTTTTTTCTTTTTACATATGATATGATGTTAAGGAGTTAATAAGTTAGATTATAACGAAAGAGCCGCAGTGGTGCCATCGATTCAAACTCTAAACCTCTAATATTTTCATTATTTCAGTAGACAATTAAATAGACCATTATACTAATTGATGTGTCCCATACTAGTTTTATTTATACTGTGGAAATTCTCTGTGATGACAATATTCCCAATGTGTGAAAGAGAAGTTGGTGAGAAAAGAAACTAAACAGTGTGATTAGAATCGTAATGTTGCATTTGAATTATACTATATGATGATTAAACCACTACAGGAAATGACACTTTTGGTGACCAAAATATTGGTCGCCAAAAGCCCCATTTTTGCTCGCCGAAACAAATTAGCGACTAATTCTTTTTGTCGCCAAAGTCGTCGCCTATGCTCTGTCGGCAATAGTATTGGCGACTAAACTATTTTTGGTCACTGAAAGTGAACGTTTTGGCTACTAAAGTCTGGTTAGTCGGCAAAGGTTATCTTTTGACGACTAAAATATTAGTCGCCAAAAGTGAACATTTGGCTACGAAACTTTGAGTAGTCGGGAAAGGGGAAATTTGGCGACTAAATTTTTAGTCGCCAAAAGTGTTCAAATAAAATTAATTTTTTTTTAGTGACTACAAATTTTAGTCGTAGATAAGTTTTAGTCGGCAACATTACTATTTAGGGACTAAAGAATTTAGTAGCCAAAAAATTATTTTTCATTAAATTTTATTTTTTGCTACTAACCATTTGGTCGCCGAAAGTCTTCATTTATTTTTGGTTACTAAAGTATTTAGTAGCTAAAAATCTTTGGGTTCTTTTTGGCTACCAAATATTTAGTGGCTAAAAACATTGATTTCCTTTTTAACTACCAATTGGTTAGTCACTAACAAATTTACTTTTTCTTTTTTGGCTACTAAACATTTACTTGCCAAAAACTTTATTCAGTGTTTTTTTTATTATAATTTATTTATCTACAACCTGTATTTATTTCGTGCAACCTGCACCCTGTATATAAACAAAATAATACATATTTCTATTTCGTTTCAACCATACAAAAATTTGGTGTTTTAACATCAAATTCTATACAAATCAAATATAATCCAACCCAAAATAATAATTCCATACAAACAGATAATCATACAAAATAGATATCCTTTGTACACAAAATTCTACATCAAATGTCATTTACATAATATTTTGAAGGTGTAAACATGATGGAAAAATTAAATTTATTTACTAAAACACTTGCTTAATTTAACAATGAAGCCATTGATCTAAAGGCTTCTCATCCTTCAAGCTTGCTTCATATAGTTTGGTACCTTTCTTTTTGAAGACACCAACTGCAAAATAATAATCAACCTCTCAACCAGCGGAAGCATTTAGCAAATAAGTATAGATAATTAAACAGCTTAAATAGAAAGATAATTAAATTGATGCTAACAAATCTCCCTGCTGATGAAATTAGTTTCAATTTTTTTAAATGAGTTTACTGTAAAGAACTACTCTATCACTAGGGTAGTAGCATTTCTTATAGCACTGGAACTACTCTATAAACTTGCCTCTTGAAAACCATCGAGCGACAATGACATCAAAGCAACCTTTGTAGCGGCATGCTTTGCTTCTTTTAAAGTCCTAAAGTACCCTGGACTCTCAAAGGAATGCCCATCCATGAACAAAGGATCAAGTTGAACAACATAATACATAAAAGTGATTTTCCAACAAATGATCCATCATGTAGTCATATATATCTAAGTGCCTTGAAGCAAAATTAAAAGCACAACAGAAATGACAAGCAAGTGAATGTAGTCATACATATCTCAGCATATATCACCTATTAAATTACTTACCAACTTTGACATCTGAAGCATTTGAATGAATCTGAGAACTCATATCTGTTTCTTCAATCTCAGGTCCTACACTCGAGATTAGAAAAGTTCAAAACAAATAGGGTCAGCATTTTCTTCTTCCTTTTTGGAAAAAAAGAAAAGAAAAATGGGTTTCAGACCGATGACAAGAACAACTTTTTCAAAAAAAATTAAAAAATCAATAAAATTGACCAAAGTCCTGAAACTGACAATGAAGCATTGCAACCTTTTTACTTCATAAGAACAGAGGTTCACAGACTCAGCTTGAATCAGAAAGTGCAAGATCATAGACCCAATTAGAAGAAATAACAATACTTTAATAATAGAGAGTCAAGAGTCTTACTTTCCAAACTTCAATGCCTACATATTTCATTGGCTTCAATACATAAAGGTGAGGATTATCTTCGAACTCTGCAGGGAACAAACAAGTATTGTAATTAAACCCAGAGATCCAGTTGTCATGGTCTTTGAAGCAAACATTTCAAATATGAAATAATAGAACTAATATGATTAAATGTATCATCTTAGGTTCATCAGAAGAAGAAATCAAAAAACAAAAAACAAAAATCAACATAGGTGACTCAATAAACTTTCACTACTTTTTAGTTAAGTTAAGTTAAGTTAAATTTGATTGATTGATTACCAGGAGCAGAAGCAGAGCTAAACTGCTACCCTAAGCTAGACCACCCAGATTTACCAGGAGCCCACTGCAGCAAAACCAGATCAATGATACACTCTCCTACCCAAAGACAAACCAGCCAACTGGGGACAGTCCAGACTCAAACACCCATATCTCATCTACTAAATTAGCCCTAAATTTATCAATTATTTACAAGTTGGGATGAGCAAAGTGAGCCCAATACCAGATTCTGATTATCACTTGAAATTTGTTGCTCTAAAAATCTAACATAACTGCAAGGAACCGTACACAATCCAAGTCAATAATCAAGAACATAATTTCAAATCCTTAGTTTAATAAAACTTGGCCAAAGGAAAACATATGAAAGTACTTGACGATAATTTCACTAAGCATATCATTACAAACAATCTCTTATTCCCAAATTCTCCTTTAGTTGCTGAGAAAGCTGTGGTAAATCCAAACAGAAGCAAAAAAGACTAATAGTCCAATCTTATTGTTGAGTGATTTCTCAAACCCAAATTAAAATCCAAATATTTATATAGGGAATGACATGTATTCAGGTCCAAGTGATAGAAAAGACATAAACTTCCTTCCTTTTCCTTCATTTTCTCAGCAACCAAACAGTGGACATCCAAAAAAAGAAGAAAAACCCAATTACACCTCACCAAGATAAGGCAAAAGAATGAATCAGAATCATAGAACGGCATAAAATATAATATATAAAGAGAGAAATTTAAAAAGAGCACCTCGACAGTCCAAATGAAGAAATCAAGAGGCTTAGGAGGGCGTTCTTTGTTCATCTCCCAAATCAAGACACAAAGAAACCTAACCTTCAAATCAAATTAAGCTTGAACAAGATCAAATGATTCCATTAAAAACAAAATCAGAAAAAACGCGACATATTTATGAATATATGAGTGATGATGGATTTACCGCGTAAGGAGGAGGTGTAATTATGGGTCTGATTGTCTTCTTCTTCTTCTCCTACATTTGATGCTCAGATTATGATTTCAGAGAGAGAAACAGAGAGGGAGGTTCTTTGAACCAAAAGGCTTCACTTTTTACGCACTCTCTTGCTCTCTCTCTCTCTCTCTCTCTCTCTGTCACACACACACACGCACACACTGAATCTATTCACCGGCGCTGTGAGACTCCATTTGTAAAGTCCGCCGGAATCACCAGATTGGGATTGAGAAGAACATGAAGGAGAAGGGATTTAGAGATTCAGACCGCGAGAGAGAGAGAGAGAGAACATCGGTAAAGGGCTAGGGCAAATATAAGGAAAAGGAGAAAAGTTAATAAAAATTAATTTTTTATTTTACATTTGCCGACTAAAGGCTTTAGTAGCCAAATGTATACCTACGGCGACTAAAAGTAGATTTTGTCGCTGAAAATCAACTTTTGGCTACTAAATTTTTAGTTGCCAAAGACAAAAATTAATTTTTTATTTTACATTTCCCGACTAAAGGCTTTAGTAGCCAAATGTATACCTACGGTGACTAAAAGTAGATTTTGTCGCTGAAAATCAACTTTTGGCTACTAAATTTTTAGTCGCCAAAGACAAAAATTAATTTTTTATTTTACATTTGCCGACTAAAGGTTTTAGTAGCCAAATGTATACCTACGACGACTAAAAGTATTTTTTGTTGCCAATTTCTGGCATTTTTGCCGACTAAATTTCTTTTAATTACCAATTGTGATATTTTTAGCTACTAAATTTTTTTTTAGTCACCAATTGTAATATTTTTAGCTACTAAATTTTTTTTAGTCGCCAATAATTAACATTCCCCTACGAAAAAAAATTGGTAGCTAAAAAGTTGACTTTTGCCGACTAAAATTAATTTTGGTAGCCAATTCCCACACTTTTGGCGACTAAATTTGTTTTGGTAGCCAAACATGGTCGCCAAAAATGTGTTTTCTTGTAGTGAACAACTGATAAATCCTAGTTTAGTGACACTGGGCCTGTTTGGTAGTGCTTATAAGCCGCTTATTTCAGCTTTTAGCTTAATTTAAGCTATTTTGAAGTGTTTGGTGTAGCTTAAGAATACAGATTATAGCTTTTTGTAAGCTAAAAATCAACTTATTTGAAAAGTGGCTATGGGGGTGCTTTTCTAAATCAGCTTAAACGGCAAGCTGAGAAGAAAGGGTAAATTTACTTAAATGCCCCTCATCAATTTCAAGTATTATCAAAACACCAATATATAAACCCCCGAACTCAATCACTATTCACTTCTTCGAGAGACAAAACTTGAGAGGCGATTTCCGACGGTGATTTCTGGTGAGATTTGTCTCTCTTTCCGGTGCGATTTCTCTCTCTGTCTCTCTCTCTGCGATCGCTGCAGATCTCTCTCTCTCTCCGGCATTGTTCGTGTTTGCGATCAATCTAAAACCCTTCTATGCCGGTGAACAAACCAGAGCTCTCTCACGAACCTCCCGTCACCACTGCCATCGCGATCGCGACCTGAAACCTAACCACCGCCATCGCGATCGCGATCTGCTCCATGCTTTCTCTCTCCACCGCCATTGCGATCACGATCTGCTCCATGCTCTCTCTCTCTCCCTCTCTCTCTTTTTGAGATCGAGATTGCAATATGAAACCGTAACAACCGCCATGCCTCTCTCTCTCTCTCTCTCTCTCTCTCTTGCTCTCGATCTGTGTTGATCTGGCAAGAAACCCTAGCCACCGACGGCTGTTCGCCGGTGGCGTTGAAACCCTAGAAAATAAATTGAAAAAAAAATAAAAAAATCAATATTGATATTTATTAAAAAAGAAAAAATTACTTTTCAGAATTAATAAAAACAGAATTAATATTTAATATGAAAAAAAATTAAAAAATTACTTTTCAGAATTAATTAAGCCATTTTAGCCATTAATTAAGCATTGATACTAATAAATAATTTTAGTAGTAATTGATGCTACTTAAGCAATTAATTGACACTAATTAATTTTATAATGAAAAAATGAAATAATTTTACTAAAATGAAAAAATGAAAAAATAATTGATGAGCAAATTGATAAAATAATTAAAATGAAATATCACTAAAAATAAAAATGAAAAATAATAATAATAAAGAAGAAGAATGAAAAATAATAATAATAATAATAATAATAATAATAATAATCACTAAAAATGAAGAAGAATGAAAAATATCACTAAAAATGAAAATTTGAAATATCACTAAAAATAATTAAAATGAATAATAATAATAATAATAATAATAATAATAATTGATGAGCAAATTGATAATTTTTATACTAAAATCACAAATAATATTGTAACAATTTTTAATAAATTAAAAAATATAAATTAATATTCATGTATTTATAAACTAAAATGAATATAATTTGAAAATTTTAATTGGTATTTCAACATTTTTCAAAATTTTCTCATAATCAATCTCATCATGCATGCACCACTTCTAATTTGAAAAAATAAAGTATAAACTAAAGAAAAAAAATGAAAAAAAAAAAAAGAAGAAAGGGAAAAAATAAAAATAAAAAAATAAGGAAAGAAGAGAATAAAAAACAATTAAAAGAAGAGAAGAAAAAAGAAAGAAGAGAAAAGAAAATAAGGAGAAAAAGAAAAGAAAATAAAATAAAATGAAAAAGAAAAAAATGTATTATAAATGAAATCACAAATTTTATATCTTATAAGAGCAAAAATGACAATTATACAGCAAAAAGTTATTTTACGGCTTATTTATCAAACACTACTCTACTATTTAAATTCATAATCCCACAACTGCACCAAATAGATTACCAGCATATGTTCACAACTGTAAATTATAATCTGTTAAGTTATAATATATAATCACTTTCCTACAGTTCTATCAAACGGGAATTGTCTTTTTTATATTATTTTGTGGTACGAAAAAAGTCATACGTTAGATGGAATTGCAAAAGACTTCCAAAAGGAATTGTGTTAGGTGGGATTTGTGCGCGTACATGTAAAAAGAGAGGTTGTTGACCACCGATTTTAGATGGTGCATCACGTGCCACTCTTTGAATTGTTGTTGAGAGTTCTCAACTGCACGTGTGTATCTGCAAGTGATTACACATAAAATAAAATAATCTATTACTATTTTAAAAGAAAATTGCTTGAGACCACAAATTAGTGGTAGCACCACCCGCTACCACATTGATGTGCCTTTCTTTCTTTTTTTTCCGTTTTTTTTAAGTGTGTGTCAACTCATTTAGAGCACCACTTTTAGTGGTACTTTAAAGCATCACTTTTAGTGGTATGTAGCTTTGCTTATTTTAAAAATATGTAGAGCACAAACGTTTTTCTATTTTCTATTTTTTGCATTCCGAAAATATTCTTTCAAACTTATTAAATATCACACATTAACCTACATTTACCAAATAATCAAACATCTTTCAGAATTCAAATATTTTTAAATATCA